CGTTTTATACTATTGCCAAAAAAAGTATATATTTTTTCTAAATTATCGAAAAAAGTCGATACTTCACGAACATGTCTCGCAGCATCGTTCAAAACCAAGTTTAAAGCGTGCGCAACACAATGAACATAATCGGTATTTGGAGCATGCTCTTTTATTAGGGTTTGTAATCCTCCATACACACCCGACATAACATTTGCTCCATCGTATCCCTGTCCTCTACATTTAGTCAAATCAATTCCATATTCTTTAGTCAAATTTAAAATGACAGTTTTCAGACCTGCTGCACTGCAATCGGTTACTGCTATAAATCCTAAAAAGGACTCACAGATTTTTATTTCTTTAGGCACATTATCATCATTTTCTGTAACCGAGATATATCGAAAAACTACGGATAGTTGGTCAATTTTTGACAAGTCTTGTGTTGTATCCAGAATTATTGTCAGAAATGGAGCTTTTTTAATTTCTGAGATAATATTGTTCCTAACGGTGGTACCAAGCAAACTAATAATTTCGTTTTGAATCGTAGGGCTTAAATAATTTATTTCACCTTTCGTTTTTAGAAGAAGTTCTTTTAAAGTTCATGGATGGACAGACCGAAATTAAAAGATTTCCTTGTTTATCACTACGGGCCCTAAATAATTGCCAATCTAAATCACTCACAGTATCTTGTCTCTAAAAAAATAAAGAAATTTTGGGCACTTTTTTTATGACCTCGTTCCTTTTCTGTTTAATTTTTCTTTTCTCTGCGCCGCTGGGATAATCTCTTTTCCTTTCACTCATTTCTTTAACAAATCGCTACTAATACTGCTAAACCARAAGAACAATATTGTTTGTACTGAATTACAATGTAATGCACATTTATATAAAGGGCGTAAATAAACAGTGCACTGCACTCCGTGGTTTAACATCCAATGCAAAGTACAACAACGTACACGTACAWCGCGATATCGATGAAGGATTCCCGGGGATTTCCCGCTGAGTGAAGTAAGTAAAACGGGGAAGTCCCGCAGCCCGCCATAACGATGTAGAGTGTTGCCAACTTTTGAACGCACGCTTAAGGCGAGAAAAAAAGGAATTGTTTTATAGAATTTTGTCATTTGTAAAATAAAATAAATTAGAAAGTTTTTATTCTTTTTCCTTACACGCTTTGGACCGTATAATTGATACGGCAAATACGGCGGTAGCTACGCCCCTGGATTGGAGGTAGGTGCTTGCTCGTATTTATATAGTCCAGTGTTAAGGGTGTGTAAATCAGCATTTTGCGATGTGGCGTTGTAGCAGTTTATTAGGTGTTGCATGGCTAGGGTATCATCATTGGTAAGACCGAGGTTAAATCTCATCACTTCTAGTGTTTTGTCTTAAAATTTTATTTGCTGCCATGTAGAGGATATAATTGGTGCATGGTTTTATAGTGATTATTAATTTTATTATCATAATTTGAGACACGTTGCTTTCTAATAAAATTGTTCAAATCCAACCAAAACTGTTCAAAACCCTTGGTACCGAATATGCGGACCCCAGTATCTATAGTTGACTTTGTTCGAAAATATCGGTCTATGTGTGAGTTATACAATAGAAATTCAGATATAATCCTTTCCCTGCAGTAGTAGTTCTGTGTGTCCAAAATTGGTGGAATCGGGTCAATACTTCCCTGGGTCCCCATATACTACTATTTTCGAACTTTCTGATGATCTTATGCTGGATATGTCGGCCAATATTTGAGTTATCTCAATGAAATTTTCATAACGTATTTGACTCATAATTGTACATATATCATTGTGTTTAAAATGAATACAATGGGGCAAAAACTCCACCTAGTCCCCATATGATCATTACCAGGATTATTGAACATCCGGCTGATTGTGGGTGATGACAACATATATTTGGTTTTTCTAGCAAATGTTATGCCGAATATATACGTAGGTCAGTGTATAAGTTATACTATATGGTGTATGTATGTATATATAATATAGCTTAAGGGCCAATCCTCTGGTTGACGTTTTACATCGTAGGATATTTTCCTGGCTTTGATTCCAGCAAGTTGCAAGAGTATTACGGTTGCACTCGAAATTAGCCCTTTCTTACTTTTTAATTTATAATTCACTTAATGCAATTGAAGAGTGTTTGCAATTCCGCAATTAGTTCGGTGAAGCCTTTGTTAACATTCCAAATTGTGCGAACTTTTTCGATTCCCTGTATCATACTTCAATTTGCTGTGCAGCAGTTGAAGTTGATGTTATTTCGCTTTGAAATTTTTTGGTATTTATATTAGTTTTATGATGAAGTTCAACACTAAGCACTCGGGAACCTCCTCCACCAGTCGATAAATGCATGAACGAATATATCATGATCAATAGAATCAACTTCTTCCTTAAAAATCATATCGCCTTTTCCATTACAAAACATACGAGTTCATCAATGGTTCGAGGTTGTAAAGATATAGTTGACTCGTTCCCGCCAGGTTTCTTGGACATCCTCACCAACCCGCTTCTCATAATCCATTTCCATATTGAATTCAATTAAATTAAAAAAAAAAAAAATTTCAAACGATTCAATTTAAACTAAGTTGGTTTTGCGAAGAAACATGCAATTAACGATTGTTTCTTGAAGGAAATTCAAAGTAATCGTTAAATTCATCTAAATTAGTTAAAATCATTATTATGAAGTTTATTTAAACCTGAAATGTTATATAAAACTTACCAATCATCAACATTCCTTAAATCGCAATGAAAATATTTATGTTACTTCACACATACATACATACATATTTTGCACAAAGTTTATTTTCCTCGTTTATTCTCTCTTGCTCTTCTAATGTGGATCATTCACAATGTGTAATCAGTTGTCAAAATTACTTGAAGAAATAATGTATTTATTTTTCTTGAGGAATTGCTTAAGAACGTACACACGTTCTTAAGGACATAGTTATTTGGAAAGCTGCACGACGACATAAGTGTATCCATAAGAACGTGTGTATTTTAATATTTGACAGAAGTCGCTTGAAGTCTGTCGCTCTCTATGAGTTCAGCACATTGTGTGTTTAAGTATTATATATACATATTTTCATTGCAATTTAAGGAATGTGGATGAAGATTGGTAAATATTATACAAAATTTAAAAATGAAATATATTTCATAATAGCCGTGTTTTATTTGACCATAAGCTAAAAGCTAAATCATGGACAAATAAAACGTATTTAGCTTATTTCACATTTTCAATAATTATGTTGGCAACGCGGGCAATAACAACAGCTGATATTCAACTTTTCGCATCGCAATGTTTGCAGAGAACGTTTAATATATTAGAGTTGTGTATATATATAATGTATTATACGATCTCTGAGGTAAGTTTGTAAACAGAGTTTTCACAAAATAAATAATTATATATTTTGTTTATCAACAGCAAAAGAAAAGTTTGGACAGATTCCGTGACGCTCCTATTCCCTAAGTGCTACAATAAGAGGAAGGATGAGTTCCTGCATGCGCGCAAGAAAAAGTTCCCCTATGAAAACGTCTTGGAGGACATGATATTTTAAGGGTTTGCGGTAAGAATATTTTCAGTTTAGTGTGTAAATATTTATTACATTTCTTTTCACAGGATACAACGGTGAAGACGGCTGCTATTGTAGCAAAAATGCGAACGCTTTCGAATGCGTATAAAAACAGCGAAAGATAATTAGACCAGAACTTCTCCGTATGCAATACCGTACATGTCGGAAATGGACGAAATTTTTGGCCAAAGTTGCGCATTGTCCAACAACCACATCATAAACATTGGAACTGATCCTCTAGAAAAGAAAAGGTGCAGAAGAAAAGGGGAAGTTCTACGCGAATATACAAAGTAAAATGCGGGATTTGGTGGAAAAACGAGATCTCCAGATAGAAATCAGAAAAAAAACTAAACATAGAGGAAGAAAATCTAAAACTTCCATAGCGGTGTGTTATGAATAAAAGATAGCAAAATTAATTGCTTCTTCAACCAATAGATATTGTTTTATTTCATTGAATTATTTTATTTCACGATGCATACGTATATGTACGTGTTTATATAAAAGAAACAATTTTATTATTTGAGTTTGCGCCACTGTATATGTACTCGTGCTTATATAGACATATATATGTACTAGAAAAATGTTGCTCTAAAAGTGCATTTTAAAACATTTATTCATTTCCTCATGTTAAAATTGTAAGCAACTGATTCCGACGACCTCCATTTGCTTCTCTCGCCCCCTCATTAGCAGGTTCCGGCTCCGGTTCGGCACTTTCAATTTGATGATCAATAATAGTATCGTCGTTTGTTATAATACATATGTTGTGCATAATGCATGCACTTGCCACTAAATTTGAAATTGCACATATATTTCTGTGCTCCGTAAATTTAAGAAGCCTTCGAAACCGTCCTTTTAGTGCTCCAAATGCATTTTCCACAACTATTCTTGCTGAAGAATGTGTTTTGTTAAAGTTGATTTGATTAGGAGTTAACGAACCATAATCTTTAAACATCGGAATGAGGTAATATTTACAAGGGTATGCCGAGTCCCCGAGAATAAAAGTAGAATTTGGAAATAAATTTTCCATATTACTTTCCGCTTTTCTATAAAATGCTGACCTTTTTAAAACTGTAAAGTCATGATATGATCCGGGTTCCCCACAATAAATGTCAATAAATTTTTTATCAGCATCGACAATGGCCTGTAGAGCAATGCTATAATTCCGTTTCCGATCAAAATATATATGCTTGTCTTTTATGGCTGCGTTAATTGTTATGTGGGTGCAATCAATAGCACCAACAACACCTGGTATTTGCTTTCTTTGCAAAAACTTGCGAGTTGTTTCTTCCAACGCATCTGCAGTTGGCCACTTAATGAACTCATGACCTATTGAAATAACCCACGCGACAACGCGACGAACAATCGCCCATGCTGTGGACTTCGTAACGCCAAACAATATGGCTAGTTGTCTGTAGGTAATTGTATTACTTAAATACCATACGTACATGCAGATCATTGTTTTGGCAGGAATTTTGACTTTTCCGGACTTCGTAGCAAAACAGGTTCTTTCACTTTCCTCATATCTTCCTGTAAAAATTTATATATTCATAAAGAAATGTCTCATAACAAAAGCCAATCATACCTATTAAGTAATCTAAAGTTTTGCGGCTCAAACGAAAGTAATATTTGAAATCCTCATCTTCAAAATTATCAATAGTATCCATAAAATTAGAGCATTGTGGATGCTCCATCTGCTCTTGCTCTGAATCCTCTGATGACGAACTTGATTCAGCAGCTATAACAGTCAGGATGTTCAATACTTCTTTATCCTCTTCATTATTTGAATTTATGCACACAGTATCAAACAACTGGAAAACACACAAAGTTAAATTTCGTCTTAATTTCAATTTAAAATCCCCACTTACCGCATCTTTTATAAAATTTTCCATTACGCGCATTTATTTATTTTTCATTTACAAATGTATTTTTTAATTGTTTACATTTTTATCTGTCAAAATGAGGTTTCTCGCTATTGCCAACTACTTTTTTGGGGGAAAAGACGATGAACTGGCAATGCCTCTAGTCAAATATACAAGCTATGATAGCTTATTATATACCAGCATAATTATATTGGCTAATAGCCGTGACAGACGAGCAAAATTAATGCGCCTTAAGCAACGCTAATGCGCATTGAGATTTTATGGTGACAGACGGCAGACTTGTGCATTTAGACAGCTGATAGTGAAATTTGTTTATTCATTTAAAAAAAAAGTGAAATAAAAACGAATAAGAAAAATTATTTACAGAAATATATATGTTAAATATATAATAATTAAATAAAWAAATTTAACGAAAAAAATTGTTTATTATTAACTACGTTCAAAGGTAATAGACTGAAATCAAAAGCAATAATTGATTGTAAAGCGATAAAGTTGAGAATATTGGAAAAATGGATAACAAACTGTGCGTTGTTTATTTTCTGCCATCTAAAAATATAAAAATTAGTTTTTGTTAATATACGTGCACATAATTTAATTAGCAATATAAAACTGCTTACCTCTGATGTTGTAAACGCAAAGGAAGCATTTGAGGAGTGTTGCCCACTCAAATTTGGTAAATTCAGCTAAAGCACGGGTCAAATGCGCAAGTAAATTAAGGCCGCTAATGCATATTAGCGCTGTCGTCTGTGAGGACATAAGTCTTCCATACAATATAAGATAATAGCTTAATTTTCTGAACAAATAAAATACGCCACACACAATAATAGCCGTGCTTTATTTGACCATCACAAGCTAATAGCTAAATCATGGACAAATAAAGCGCACTTAGCTTATTTCATATATACGCTTAAAATGAATTGTGTTGGCAATGCGGACAAGAACAATCAGCTGATATACAATTTAGTTTGAAATTTCAAATTTGTAAACGGAATAGTAATATACTATACAAATAGGTATATTTGTAGTATAATCGTGTCGTTTGTTATCATATAATTGTCTATTTATTGGGAAGTTCACTATATTTATTACAACGTGTTATCCAAAAATAGTTATTTTTACGTTTTATGTTTGAATGATAAAGTTGATGAAAGTACGGCGGAGCGCTAAACATGTGGTGCGTTCCCACGAGTGGTTGAAGTAAAACAGAAAGAGTCGTCTGTGCGTGGCTGGAGTGTCTGCTTTCTACGGTGTCGTAATGGCCGACTCATTGAGTCGTCACGCCGCGTAGTGGCTGGTGAAACGTACTTTACGTTCTCTGTCTCTGCTATGTCATCAAGAAAACGATAAATTATTCATACAAAAATGTATTTAAATACAACTGTACTGTGAATAAAGCCATAAAAATAAACTGTAAAAAAACAACGAATGTAAATATTAAATACATTGTCTAGTTGTATGTTAAATACAATTTAAACAAGCTACTACATAAGAGATATAATATATATAACATATTATTGTATATCCGCTATCTCCTAGTGATGAATAGTCACTGAAGTAGAAATTTCTTTGTTATTAGAGTCCGATAAGTTTTCAGAATTATGCTTATATTTCCCATAACTTGTAGTGACTGAACTAAACGGTGGTGTAACGAGCTTTGCAGTGCACTAAAACAGAAATAACAAGTGTTAAAGATTCGTATAAAATATTTGTAGTGAAATTGGTAAAATACTTACCGATGAATTCCGAAACTGGATCGTTATCACCTTCACCACGCATAGTACCCGTAATTTCCTCATTTTCCACCATTGGCAGGAACAATTGCACAAATTCTGGTGAATATGGTGGCGTTATAGTCTCAAGTACTTCAGTAACAAAGTACCGTATGAGTGATATGTCTGTATCACCTTTAGCGCAGCACTGTTTAATATATTTAACAACGGGCACTACACAGCCGCGGGTCAATAGATTAACCATTCGGTCCAATAACATTTTCTTCATTTCTAGTTGTACTAAAATCTCTAGCTCATCCTGCTTCGATTCAAATAGCCTTATAAGTAACCTTAAAATCTGTTGATGCAGTGTAGGATGCACAGCCGCGACTTCATCTAGTATGGCCAAATGAGTAGGGCAACTGTCGGTAGATAGTTTGAAGTAAGACGGTTCGGTAACTGTGTTCTCAATCCAACGTATAACACCAACACCAACCACTGGATATCTGTAATTTGTAAGTAAAGTTATTGCACAGTTTTCTTTTTTTCAATTTATAATTTACTTAATGCAATTGTAGAGCGTTTGCAATTCCGCAATTAGTTCGGTGGAGCCTTTGTTAACGTTGCAAATTGCGTGGACTTTTTCGATCGCTTGTATTGTACTTTTCAATTCATCTTTATTGAGCACACGCTCGGTCATCGGGCGCTTTTTTGCCGGCGTGTCAACTACTGAAGCCGCATAAGCCAGCAAATGGATATACTTGGACTTGTGTTCAGGATTAATTTTTACTCCAGCTTTGAATAGAGAATCTACAAGCAATTCCAGGAATTGAGGATTGCGTATTAAATCGATTGGTGGTGGGTCTGCCGCAGAATAGTTTCGAAACAATACTGTAATATCTGCTGGATTAAGCGTGTTGCGCGAAAGCATCGATGACAGAGCCTGGCATGCTTGTGGATATGCCGCCGATCCATTAAGAGCCATAGTAATGGGAGTTACATTTTGATTACTAAAAAAAAACACAAAGATATTTGCCAATCATTATCATTACACAGTATCAATTAATTTGCTCCAAATAAACTTACTTTTGCAGCGCATACTTTGTAATCTCTTGTGAGAGACGCTTCATATTGAAGCCACCTTTTGTCTCCTGACTTAATACTTGAATTAGTACTTGTGAGTAAACATATGTATGCTGTCCGTGGCATACCATGCGCGCGCATTCTTGTATAGCCCCTTGTATGTCTTCGGGATTGTTAAGAAACTTTGTAATGGAAGTTTTAAGGACGCGCGAAAATACTTCAATTTGCTGTGCGGCAGTTGAAATTGATGTGATTTCGCTTTGGAAACCAGCATCTGAGATTAGTTTTATGGTGAAGTTTAACATTAAGCAGTCGGGATACTCCTCCGCCAGTCGATAAATAAGCGAACGCCATGTATGATGATCAATCATTTCAGTTAACCAATCAGGCGTCTCACCTTCTTCTGTAAATATTGTGTCGGCTTTTTTAGGATCAAAGGTCTTCAAAATCATATCTTTAAGATGGTTTTCCACCATTGCTTGTACATCGGTGACCTTAACGCCAGCAAGAATAAGCCATTCAGCAAGCAAATTTGCCATTTGAGCAACAGCTTTATAGTTTTCAGACAGCATTGTGATAACTTCTTCTGGGGAACCACCGGATTGGAAATAACGCTTTAGTTGCGTAAATATTCCGGGTTCCATTATATAATCAGGTGTGAGAAATTTTTCAAGACATTCTTGAATGGTTTCCTGTGGGTTATCCTCGGGCATTTCCTAAAATTACAAACATATGAATTCTTCAATGGTTGAAGAGTATAAAGATATAGCTGACCTCGTCCTCGCCTGGTTGCTTTTGACGTCCTTGCCAACCCGAATCCTCATAATCCATTTCCATATTGAATTCAATTAAATTTTAAAAATTTATTTCAAAGTTTCTAATATTAACTAAGTTTTGCTTTGTAAACAAAAACATTCGTTTATGCCAACTATATAATGATTTAATTGCGGCGAATCAGCAAAAAACAAAATGTCAAAAGAAAAATACGCATACAGCATTGCCAGAACGAAAAAAATTAATTTAAGAATTCTTAAAAATTTGCAATGCCATGCTTACAAGCAATATTGGAATTGAGTGGATTATTTTTTTTTTAAGTAAATGGTTCACATTCCTACTTAAAGTCATACAGATGACCAATTATAAAAGTCCATTTATAATATTTCTTTATATTTATTAATAATTGCAATAAACTTGATTGAAACTCGTTTCGTTTCCTGTTGACTAAAAATTGTGTTACTTTTCCGTTGTTTGGTGTTCTTATCTGGTGATTGTTGATGATTTTTAAGCTCGATTATCTTATTTCAATGTCCCAAATCCACTTAGACCAGTTTTGGATATTTCGAATAATAAACAGTAAAAATTAGTTAAATAATTAGTTAATTTTTAACAGCAATTTTTTGTATTATATCAAAGAAATATTCTTCGATAATTTTAACGAATTGGATAAAAGCTTCAAGTACAACTGAAGGCCTTTGTAACTCAAGAATCTTTCGGAAGATTTCAATTAACTTTAACTTTTAACATGTAAAAATAGTGCCTCATAAAAAATTTTTTTTAGAGTATATGTTAATAAAAGGATCTCCGCGTAGTGATGATACCCGGAAGAAGCTTTGGTGTGGAACTGCATCACTGCAAAATAAAATTGTAATTTTTCCCATATTTCTGATTKTATCTAACTCCTTTAAATTAGATAACAGTTTATAAATTAAAAAAAAAAAAAAATTTCGGCGTCTGCGGACGCCATTACAATAACACGACACTTGAATGCTGCGGAATTTCTTTCTCAATTTTACACTTAGTCCTACAAAATTGAAAATAAGCTATATTTTGGTATCTCAAAGGTATTGTTTTATTTTAATTTTTTGTTGTAAAATTACTTTAAATATATTTAACATCGAGAAGTCTTTCTCGTGACAATATCGGATATAAAGCTTATTGTTTATTTTCTCCTCGTACTTCTTAAATATATACAAACGTACGTACGATGGTTTTAAATTAAATTTGGCAAGATCTTAGCATATAATCATTAATGCTAATGTTAAATTTCGAAGTCATTTGTAATTAAATGTATTTCTGCCCGTTACTGATATTTACGAAAATAATAATAAAAAAAATAAATTACTAAAATCAACAATATAATAATTAACCTCCAATACAAACGCTTTTGCAAGAAGTCAAATTCATCATTGAGCAAGCACACCCACTTGTTGTTCAATCACAAGAATGACTTTATGGTTCACTTTTGCGTTTCATTTTGAGCACTATGGTATAAAAGTGACTAGAATACATTGCTTAGGACATTTTTGTTTTCAAAATGAAAAATATTCAATTGTAGTAAAACTGTACGGTGGTCAAAACAAAATTACAAAAAGAGGAAAATCGTTTACGTTAATATCATCTTTTCGAAAAAAGGTCGTTGTGTTGTTGTTGCTGTTTTTGGATGTTATATATTTCAAACCACATTTTAACGTCTTTTCAATTTTCGACAAAGCCACTGCGTATCGGCCTTTTAATTGCTCTTTTTGCTTTCTTTTACTTCACCTTCTTTTGCTTGACCACGTCCCAAAATTTTTGCTAAGCTATCCCAAATGCCGCCGAAGAATATTGCACAGGACAGATTTTCGAATGGTAGGAAAGGATCATGTATACCCAAAAGAATTGAAGATAGCTTGAAGTATACCAGGAATATAACAATACCGAAGTAAACTAAAGCATGGGGCGCTGAAATCCAGTCTGTCTTCTTATCCAGTACAAATATTATTGAAGCTAACAAAGAAGCTTTGGTGTAGCTGAAATTAATGTTTAAAAACATAAGCAAATAGTTTTGTACGTATGCCTTTCTAAGGTCTTACAATGAAGGCTGCATGAATTCCATAGCTGTCGGTGTCCAGGCTCCTCGAATCAGTCTTTCTAAAAGTTTAGTGAATCCAGCACCGTTGCCCTTCAATGTTCCAATTATAATCATAATTATCCAGGCGTTTGGGTACAACTTAGCAGCGTGGGAGACACCATCATAAACTTTCTTTGCACGGTAAATCTCTTTCATTGCACTAGCAACTACTTTAATTGGGAGGAACTTGCCAATTTTATAACCGATATCAAAGGGTGTGTAGAAAACCAAGTACCTGTGAAATTATTGTTAAATATTAAATGTTTTCAAATGTTATGCGCGTATTTAAATATGCATATAATAAAGTTCTCACCATACAACTGTGCCAACGAATAATTGTGGTGTGTTTTTCAGAGGGGCCAATATAGGTTCACCAAGCAGTGCATTAGCTACCATGCCTCCGGAGAAAATTACAAGCATCGTAGATAGCCAACATGCAAGCGGATGTTTACGTGAAAATGATTGTGCATTCGAACCTAGATCTTCTCTAACAGCTAGTGCGGCAAGCAGACTGTGTGCAATGTCAAAGTAAGGAAACATTTTCAACTTTATGACCTGATTGGCCATATCCAAGAATGCTTCTGGATCCATTTTGTCGACGAACTGAAAAATTAAATTTTTAAACAAATGAGATTTATTTGGCAAAAAATTACATTTTACATATATGTAGTTATGCCGGCTTAAATTGTATCACTATATAAAATATGTATATAGTACACTTGACCAGAATCGAGCTAAGCAAAAAAAAAAATTTTTAAGCGTCTCGCACAATTTTTGGTGCGGCTCTATGCTGGGAAAAAAGCTAAAAATAGATTTTTCGGATCTTTTCTTTTTTAGAAAACTGGCACAGCACGCATGTCATTATTACATAAGTTATAGCTGTCAGTCAAAATAATACACAATAATAAATGCGAACTGCTTTAGTAGGTCAAAAAATTAAGTGATATTTTTATTCAAATTTTATTTAAATAATTACATTTCTAATCCCCTTCAAGCGTTCACTTTATCTTCGGCGCACCAATTCACAACACAAAACCTATGCAACAATAATTTGAGTGCTTCCAAGTCAGCAGTTTTGTTTTCAAATTGATGTGGGCAACTTTACAACACTAATTTGCCAGCAATATCCATTTCACTCTTCTACAATTAAAATAATTGTCAAAATCTGAACGGCGAAAATCATTGCGGCGAAAAGAGCTTTAAAGAACGCGTCTGTTTTGCACTGCAGAAAAAGTTCGGTGGTTTTCTAAGCATAAATTCCGCAAATTATAAAGAAAATGTTAAATGAATACGCATATATATCTTAAATCATCATTTAGGCATAAATAATCTGACACAGTAAAATACTCGCCGTTCAGTAAAAACTATAGTAAGTGTAACTTCAGTATGTAATGGCGGTTTGGGAATGGGTATTTACTAAACATATTTTTGCGTATTTTATTAGATTGTACCGCGAGGCATAACTTATAAAAAATGGATACGCTATTCGATCAACTAAGAACAGAGACGCCGGCAAATTTGAAAAGTGCCGAGTCTACAAATACACGTGAGTTTATAAAGGCTTCAAAGAGGTCACCTTCTCCTGAATCACATGTAAATCCGCAAACTCCCAATAAAATAAAGAAGATATCGACAGAAACGAAGCCTTTAGATAATGCTGCAGTGCGTCGTGAATCAATGCCTCCACCTGCGACGACATTTGTCAGAAAAAATATAAGCAAAAGTCGCAGTTTATCACCTCCAAAAGGCCTAATAGTAAGACCATTTAAAGTTCTCTTAGAGAGGAAAAAAGTTGAAAGCTCAGATTGTAAAAATCAGAAGCTTAGTAAAACATCAAAAACACCAACATTTACCAAGAAAGCAGCGGACTTTACTGGATCAGCAGTAAAAAATGGAGAAAAGTCACCTAAAAAATCAACACCCACGAAGGCACAACAAAAACTATTCGATCCAGATGTGCTTGTTAAAGCACAACAGTTAACACATTTTAATGTAAAACGTTGTAAGGTGCGTTTGTTAAGACAGGATTTAGCAAAACTTAAACAAGAGTTCCATGCAAGAGAAAAGAAACAGACGGAAAATAAAAAATCATATCTTAAAAATAGCGGTAAAAATAATAAAAGCAATAGAATTCTACCTTCAGAGAAGTCATTGAATTCTAAACATGGCGGAATTTGTGACGAAAAAGAGTCCAAACATTCATCTGGGTTTTTCATAAAAATAAATGCACTCACTCGGTCACCCAAGTCAAAAACAAAATCTGAAGGATTCCTAAAAGAAAAAAGGCCTTCACAAAAGTTGAGTGCTGGGACAATTGCGAAGAAAGTAAATGCAGCCGCCGCAATTTCAAGCACCAAACCAACTAAGTTTACGAGAACACATCTTATAAAAATGTATGGCAAACGCGTATTTTGTTCTCATGTTAAAATCGAACGGTGTTCACATCCGATGATGTTGATATTTGAGTCTAATGCCCGTGCTCGTCGGTTACAAGCAAAACGATCAAAATCGAAAAATCTGTCTGTCTCTTTTCGCGATCAGGTCGAAATATTTGGCGATAGTAGTGATTCGGAGGAAGCAGATATGAGTTCGGTATGTGATCCAGATGTAGCGTCTACATCGGAAGCTGCCATGAAGACAGCGAATCCGATTCCGATCTCTTTAACGGTAACTCCAGCTCGTCTCAAAAAAGTGGAAAATGGTAAAGTTGTAGACGATATCGAATTAGACCCCTCGCTCTTTGTTGTTCCAGTAGTTGCAAGCACGCCATTTGCTTCGCCAGGTAAAAAAAAGCGTGAAAAAAAATCCTTTAGTCCACTAAAAGGGGATGGTACGCCCAGCCCACGCAAAGAAAAACTTAAATTGGCGAACGAAAAAATGCCTCCAAGTAGTTTACGGCGATTAACTGCCGCCGAAGTTGAAGAAGAGGACGATGAAGACGACGAGTGTGAATATATAGGTAATCATGAGTTCTATAAAAATGTTTTCCCCAATTGAAGCATACTAACTATTTTCTTATATTTGTTTAAGTGCCCATTGAAATACCTGAACGTCGCATATCTCGAACTAGTTCCGCCAATACCATGGATGATGTTGCTCCGGAAAAAACTAATGAAGCATCAAACAGTGACTTAGAACCTACACTTATTGACACAATTGACAATACCGGCAATGTTCAAGACACATCTGGAGAGAGTTTCGCTTCGGCTGTCGATAGTTCGCTTCCTCCTAGCACCAATCAATCTAGCAATACGGAACCTGAGGCAATGAAAAATATTGAGAACTTGGTCACCACTGACAAGGTTATCGATGAAATTCAATCTGTTGAAGATAATGAAAATGTGGTAGGGGAAACAAAACAGCAAACAATAGACGTGGACTTAGCAGAGCTCCCCCAACTTACACGTATTGATTCAGTGTCACCTTCTCAGTCGTTGAACGACATTGTCAACACTTTTATGTGCAATGAAAATGCTGTTGGCTCAAAGGAAGCACTACAAACCATGGAGGATGATATTGAGTTGAGTTCGAATACAAACAATATCTCCGACCTAAAAACGAATGAAAACCAATCACCTGAGGATATTTGTATAACCGATACAAAATTGCGAGATACATTAGACGATGACATATCTCTACAGTTGTTTGTTGATGGTAATTTATATTCGATTTTTTAAATTTGCCACAATTTTTTTATTTGCATTAAATAAACACAATTTTTCATTACAGATGATACCACTGCTAATTCACATTTCTTAGGGGACAGCGCAATGGAAGATAGCGAAATAGTAGACGGAATTGTAAAGGAACGTATTGATGAGATTTCTAAAGATAAGCATTTGGGTTCTACCGTTGAAGCTACGAACCTTTTGACCTCGAAAGTGACAACCGAGTGATAATGTAGCAGTATAATCGTTAATTAATTAGGTACCATCAAAAAAAAAAAAAAAAAAAAAAAAAAAAAAAAAAAAAAAAAAAAAAAAAAAAAAAAAAAAAAAAAAAAAGAACAAACAAAAAAAAAACATTAAAAGTAATTCCGCAATTCATTTTGTTTATAAAACCCCCTCCCTTCTCACTCTATGTTTAAGGTATACACACGTATTTGTGTATTTTACATTGAATAATCGAAATTAAACTCTAACCAAGACAATTTGTTATATGTTTGAGATTCTTGCAGGCGTTTGTAGTTGTTAGTGTTCACTAGCCAACTATTCGGTGCCTTTATTTTTGAAATGATATTGATCGAATATCATTTACTAAAATTCCGTTATCCTTCTTTTTAACGTTTGTACATAACACCATTACTGTTTCACTTAGTTTAAAGTTACTTAAAGTAATTTAATGAAAAATGGTTATAACATTATATTAATATTGCTAAACTTGTAATTTTATTTACGAAGAAAAATGTTCGAAATTTTACACGTAAATTTTGTGTAAAAAATAGGAAAAAAATATACAGTTTCCTGTATACAAACACCTACAAATGTAATTTCATCCAAGTTTTGGACAATTAAAGTATAAGTTGGTTTTATAAGAATTTCACAATAAAAAATGTCTACCGATAATTGCATAATAAAATATATAAATAAATTTGAAAAATATAAATGTTGGTAAGACTACACATATTTCGTAATTTAAATGTTATGTACCTTGACGTGCTAAATGGTCATAAACACACTGCCGATATGTGATTCGCATCTTCAACTTGCGTGTTTTGTAGTTCGAATTTCTTTAGATTAGTAATAATGTTTAGGTAGGCTGTTGCTTCGATGAGGGGTGCTACTGCCGACAAAAAATTCCTAATGTCCATAAATTTGGCGTGGGTCAGACCTATATCAGGGCGGCGATGAGTATTAAAAAACCGATGCGTTAAGAAGTAAAGTTGGCTGGAGAAGAGGAAGAAATTTTAATTTTTCTGAAAAATATCTCGACTGAACTGGCGACGCAGAGTGCGACCTGGGCGTAGATTGCACAGCTGTAGGAGCTAATGTCACAGTAGTGTTTTGGCAGCATGGGGCCACGTAACTTGTGGTTCACTTCCTGTGTATCTTAAGGCTCTGCTTGGGCTCAATGCCAGCACGAGTGAAGATGATACTGTGCAACTCTACTGCTAGGACCTGCTCCAGTAATGACAAACTTAACCTTAAATTCACCTTTCAAAACAGGGTTAGATCGCCGAAATAACTGCCCTTGGTTGACAAAATCCAGGACGATTCCGGTAACGTAGAACGGGATGTTGTGGGAATTGTTTTTGATCAATAGTTGCGGGGTAAAACCCAAGCTGGAATGTCCCCTAGAACTTTGTCCGGTTTACCTTTATAAGTAAGATCGAAATATTTATTTTTTGAGTGTTATAAACCCTGCCTTTGGGGGTACTTTTATATCGCGATTCCAAACCTCGTGCACAACCCTGGGGAGGGATGATTCTCCTTCTAATTTTAAATCGCCTTTAAATGGCTGTTTTTTGGTTACCCAGAGGATACTTGCTTTAAGACCGGAAGACGTGAGCTGCTTAAGTCGTGTGTGAAATAATCGTTTCTGACTACTACCAAGTGAATGGCACTCAGAGAGCTTTCTTCACATGCGTGAACTTCTACACAAGACTCCAGCCTTTCTATATATGACTTCATCCTTCTTCTACCAGAGCGTACATTTGCTGACGTCCGCCGATTACATCGATATCATTGGTCACAACCGTACATTACTTCTGCTTTCTCTTGGTTGAACAATAAAACGAAGCAAATGGGTCTGGTAGTGAACAAGGGCAAGATAAAATATGTTCTATCATCAAATAAACAGTCGTCGCATTCGCGATTTACCTCCCACGTCACGCAGAATAACTCTTGCCAACAGGTGCTACGTCGAATTGAGTAGGTAATTGAAAAGGAAAGTCCTGTCTCGACGAACGATGATGGAACGATGCGAGATATACGACGACAATGTCATAGTTTAGCGAATTAAGAGACAACGGCTATGCCGGCATGTCGTTTAAATTGATCAAAACACTTCAGCCCCGAGACACAGTACCCGCGGGGGGAAGCAGAGGAAGACATCACTCCATTGTAGAGACCAGATGGAGGAGGAT